CGACGACACCGGCGACGACACTGGAGACGATGCTGGCGACGATACCGGCGATGATACTGGCGACGATACTGGCGATGACTCTGGTGAGGATACCGGAGATGACTCCAGTGACGCTTCTGGTGATGGTTCCGGCGACGACTCCGGCGAAGATGGATCTGATGATGGCTCAACTACCACGACCTCGCCTGCCACTTCGTCCTCCGCTTCTCCAGCTGCCAGCTCAAGCGCAGCTGTCTCGGAGCTGTGCAGCCCGCAATGCACTGAATGCCTGTCTACGGACACGACTGATACCTCGAGCACGTCACTCAGACGGTCCGGTCTGTTCAGCAGAAGGTTGACTCAAAGGGCTTCCAGCTTTCTCACTTGGATGTCCACTCAAATGAAGACCGGACAGCCCCTTGTTAAGAGCACTAGCGGCGTAACCACATCCACATCCGTCGTTTTTGGCAGCGGTACAAGCAGCCTTACCCAGGCCAATGTCCACGGATGTACTGTCCTTTACGCTGTCTCCAAGTACGCTGTGTACGAGGCGCACCTATGGGAATCCCCCGGATTTGTCTCGAGCCAGAACGGCACTGTCGCCTTTAACGAGCAGGCGTTCCAGACCAACATCATAAGCTATCTGACGAACGACGCGAACCTCAAGCTGCCACAGCTCACCGGTTCCGCCGCGTACCCCGACCCTGGCACTCAGATCTACATTGGCACGCCTGTCGCCGCCACCGGGCAAGGCGCAAAGTACGCGTCTCAGATCTCGCGCATCGCATCAACAGTCAACCAAGTTCTTGGGTTGTCTGCTGAGCCAGCTGAGTACTACTACACGACCACAAGCACGGACGGTGAAAACAACTGGCTGTTCCAGTACAACGAGAACACCTGCAACAAGCCCGTGTGGCAGATTTGGTATGGTGGTGTGGCGGATAATGCACTGTGGTCGGCCAGCCAGACGTCTAGCTCCTGCGCCTCTAGTGCAGCGACACCCTCTCGCACCCCAGGATATCCTGCCTATACCCCGTCGACCATGATGGTCATGCCCAAAGCAACTCCTGCTTATTAGCAGGACTGCTATTAATCCAGCAAAATCGAGCATGAGCTGGGCCTTGCTGCCACTCTTTAACTTGTCCTCCTCCCTTCCTTTCTGCACGATGCCTTCACACACTCTCTTGTTTCTGTACGATGCCTTCACACACTCTCTTTTGCTCCATTGTCTTCTTGCACTCATTTGCCTACCTTTCTGTCCAACTGTGACCTATACCTTCGAAAAATATTTTTATGTGCATTAACTGCAGTACCTTTAGACAGGAAATTTCATACTTGTACATATACTAGTCTACTACTACCTACCTACCTACCAGGTGTAAACAGTAACATATCTGCCAAGCTACCAACTGCAATCCATGGTTTTACCCCTTACATGGAGAAGGGGTAATCTCCACCCACCGACCCATCAATCCCATCAATCCCATCAATCCCACCCCCGTCACCAACCCAGTCCACACCCGAAACCTCCTGAAACAGAACCAGAACAACCAAGAAAGCCAAGACAAGAAACCCGGAAAGAAGACAGAAAAAATGCCATTCAAAATCCTTCTCAAGGCTACTCGCCTACCAGAAACCTCTCCCTCAACGTTCAAATCCCGTCTTGAAGCGCACATCGCACTAGTCAAGCATCTTACGGGTCCTGATTTCCCCCTTTCCCATCGACGAAGTTACATCGATCGTCCTACTACCCCCTCATCGGAGGGGACGTATCCCACAACTGTGCTCCTCGGGCAACAGAGTGACTTTTCATTCGATTCAATAGCGGAATTGACCTTCGAGGATGAGGCTGCGTTTGAGCGGTTTCAGGCGAAAGTGAGAGAGCCGGAGATTGCGAAATTAATCCAGGAGGATGAGAAGGGATGGTCAGACCGGGGGAAATTGGGGATTGTGGTGTTGGGAGAGGTGAGGGAGACGAGGAGGTGATTCTCAACCTTGTTCAGTTAGATGATGTTGACGAAGATGATCTACTCTAGAAACTGGGGGATAATGTGGGGATGAGTATGCGCTTCTAAGTAACGAGGCAGATCAATTGGACGTTTAACCAAAGAACTTGCGAGACTTGCATTTCTTAGCAGGATATTCTTCGCCTATCACATTTACTATTACCTACTGAATGGCTATTCTGTGTCCAGGGTTTGACGGGTGACACAAGGATCGACCACCCCTTGTAGATCTGCCGCATCACTCCCCACCCCATAACTAATACCAACAGACGGGACATAACAACCTCTCATATCAACACTACTATTCATCTATCATAATGACGCGTTATTCAGCGTTAATTATCTCTCGAATCATACGAAAACCCCCACAATGGCCTCTACCACGCCACTCACCCCTAGTCCATCGCGTTAAGCCCCCTATACACAGCCCAGCCACGCGTCACACTGTATCCTACTCAACGACTCCCCACCCCCAATACCAACTCCCTAAATACACGCCCATCGACGACACCGAATATCTTGACCGCTATGAACCAGGCGGCTACCACCCCATCATGATCGGCGATGTCCTCCACTCGCGATACACCATCGTAGATAAGCTCGGGTACGGGGGATACTCGACCGTATGGCTAGCACGGGATACAAAGCTGGATCGCTACGTGGCATTGAAGGTCCTTATATCAGATACAACTTGTAACGAAGTGAGGGTGCTGCGAGCACTGTCCACAGCAAATACCTCAGCTCATCCCGGACGGGACTCGATTCCTGTCCCGTTGGATGAATTCACCGTAACCGGTCCAAACGGGACGCACACATGCTACACGATGCTTCCAGCGCGAAGTAACTTGCGCGAAGTGTCGTATAGCCGGTTATTTCCTGTGGATGTGGCGCGGGCGTTGTGTGGGAGGTTGGTTTCGGGGGTTGCGTATCTCCACTCACAAGGCTACGTTCACGGAGGTTAGTAGGTATCTATTCCAACTATATTACTTAAACTAAACGATACTCCTGAATAAAGACATCCACCTCCGCAACATCCTCTCCACTCTCCCCACAAACCTCGACAACCTTTCTATCGAGGAGTTCTACACAGAATACGGAAACCCCGAAATATACCCCATAACTCTCTTCGATGGATCCACATCCGCCCTCTCACCCAACGTCCCACCCAAAGCAGTATCCACTCTCTTCCTAGGCATACATGCAGGGGAATTCACCCTGCAGGACACGCGCATCCTTCTCTGTGACTTTGGCGAGACGTTCTCGCCATCAGTAAATCCTCGTCTTGGGGAAGATTGTCACACGCCAATGGCTTTCTGTCCGCCTGAGGCGATTTTCGAGCCGAAGGCGCCCTTGTCGTATTCTGCTGATATGTGGAGTTTGGCTACGGCGATATGGGAGATCCTCGGGATGAAGGTGGTGTTTAGTACGGATGTGCCGTATGATGAGGTGATTGCGCACTGGATGGATGTCTTGGGACCTATGCCGTGGGAGTGGTTTGAGAAGTGGGATGAGAGGGGGAGGTTCTTTGATGAGAATAGGAGGGCAGTGGAGGGGAGGTATGTATGGGCTAATTTGGAGGGGGCGTTTGAGGAGTGTGTGCGGGTGTATCGACGAAAGCATACGATAGGGGATTTTGATGAAGACGAGACGGTGGCTATTTTGGAGTTGATGCGGGGGATGCTGAAGTTCAGGCCGGAGGAGAGGCTGACGGTGGAGGAGGTGCTGCGGTCGGAGTGGATGGTAAAGTGGGTGATACCGGATTATGAACGTAGTTTGCAGACATGTACATGATTGATTGATTGATTGATAGATAGGTAGATAAATTACCTATGAGTAGCTGCATGCTCAAGCAGTCTAAGAAGGTAAACTAATTAGTGACCACCTCCTCCGCAAACTTAACCAACAACTCATTCACAACATCCGGCTTCTCCAGCTGCACCCAATGACCCGCATCCACCACCTCGATCCTCGAATCCGTCGTATTCTTTTCCGTCACATGCGATCCTACCTCCATCCGACAGACATAGTCCTGCTTAGCAGCGATGTACAAGTACTTCACGGTCAATTTACCCTCTCCTTCCGCGATGCCCGCTTCATCTTCAGTATTGATGCCGCGAATCGCGGCCTTGTACCACGACAGCGGGCCGGCGTAACCACCCTTCGAGAAGACGCGATGATGAATATCGTAGTCTTCCTGGGTGAGCCAAGATGGGAGAGGGGTGGTCTTGCCGGAGCGGACCCATTCGGCTGCTTTACCGATGGGAGCGAGGTCGGTTTTCCACGTCGCAGGGTCTTGGGGGAAGATGAGGGAGAAAGCGGATTCGGGCTATATTTAGTTAGTTTATAATTGAGGACGAAGAGTGGAGTGGGATTAGGGGGACAATGTACATGAGCTGCCATTTCATCGGCTGCTTCGTCGGTGTTGTGCCAGAGCCAGTAGCCGAAGACGGGGTAGCCAAAGATGGATTCGGTGTGTTTGAGGAGAGCGTCTATCACTGTCAGAAAATCCATCGGATAGCTATAAAAGGTTTAGATGCATACCGAGATCGAATTTCGGTCCAGGGATATTATACGCGACTGCAATGCTCACGAAACCGTAGAATCGCTGGGGATAGTAATAGGCCACGCGGGAGGCGAGACCGACACCCCTATTCTGTATATTAGCATTGAAGCAATAGAATAAGTAGTATCTAGAAAATGGACATACCAATCATGCGCGACCAGCACCGCACGAGAGACATTCTCACGATCGAGTATCTCGATCACATGTTGGCTCATCACCTTGAGACGATACGCTTTCAGATCCGTCGGCTTATCGGTATCGCCATAGCCCAACAAATCGGGCGCAATCACACCGTATCCCCCCTTCTGCAGGAAAGCGATCTGGTGACGCCAGTCATAGCTGGTGGAGGGGTAACCGTGGAGGAACACGAAGGTGGGTTTTCCCTCCGAGGCGGGGACGGAGACGTATCCGTAGGTGGTGCCATCGGAGAGAGTGGCTTTTTTAGCCAGGTCGGGGTAGACAATGGATGCCATTGTGTTTGAGGAAGAAGGTGCTGGCAATTGCAACTGAGAAGGGGAGTAGAAAAGTGGGTGAGATTGGGGTAAATAGATGGGCTTGGAGGGGTAGCTCAGCCTTGTCAGATGTTTGTCTCACGCGTAAGCAGATGGGTTTCGCGAACCACCCTATCACAATGGACTTGGCTTTGTTAGTGCTGAGTTAGTGACAGTTGTGCAACCTTACGATCAAAGAAGTTGGAATCTTAAATGATCATCATGGTGATTCAATGAGGGGCATTTATTAGGCCGCCAAGAAAGATTAGTGGCCTCCACTTTGCCGAGGCTCAAGATGAGAGCTTAGAATTTAGATTAGTGAACTGAATGAGCTCTTTTACATAACAACTTGGATGCTTATTAACCTCTACTTTCCTAGATATTCATGATCCCTTCGTAAAGGTATCAGAATAGTTGCAGCATTGAAGTCTGTTATAGAGGTTTACTTCAATTTTCCGGCATAATTTTGGAAAGTCCTGTTTCGCATCCAGTTATCATAATGTCTTTAAACATGAGCGAGCTATTTATCTCGCCTCTGTGTACTACTGTTAGTCTAGTATCTGAGTCTGTCGCAAATAGATACCCTCAAGTGGCTCAAGATGGCTCAAACTTGATTCAATTCCGTCACAATCGAGTGTCTCTTCAGGTTTAGCGGGCCAGTTGATGGTTGTATTGCCAGCGTTGCTTAGGCCTATCTTAGTATCATTTGACTGTTACTGTTATTCGACATCGTATACCTCTTCATAGTAGCAATTAATAAATCAAAAGATATATTGATACAAAACGTGACCAGGTGCCGCATTATGTGAATCCCTTAAAAGACCTCTTACATGCAGACCTTGTATACCTAGCTTTGAAATTCAACAAAATCGTAGTCTAAGCATCACTCAAGAAGTAATTCGCCGCAATTGGCCCCCCAACAGCCTTCACAATCGGCTCCAGGGTGAAGTTGAACCGCGCCGACGTGGTCTGGGAGTAATAAGTCCCGTCCAAGGCCTTCTCGGGAGGCACATATCCCTCCGGCTGATCAAAAAGATACAGCGTGTAGGTGTGGTTGGTGCTGTCGCGGGGGCGAGGAGCCGTATACTCAGCCAGGGCATCGCTGGCGTTGACGAAGCGTCCGTTCTGAATAGTGTAGTTGCCACCCCACCAGTGCAGGCGGGTGGTGGTGTTGACAGCCAGGCCGGGGACAAGAGTGTTGTAGTAGGCGGCGGTGGTGACGTCCGAATCAGGGATGTTGAGATCAAGCATGAAGATCATGTAGGTGGCATCCTTGTTTAGCTTGTCGGTGACATACACGGCCGGCTGGCTGGTGACGTCTACACTTGTAATTAGTGTTAAGGCTATAAAGCTGTGAAGAGACAGAGTACGTACCATCTGGGCTCACCCAGGTACCAGGGGTCACAGTGGCATTGGGAAAGGCGACACCGAAGTTCTTGTTGGTGGATGGGTAGCTGCCCGGGGGTGTCTGGGCCAGCGCGGTGGCTGCGAGGGCGGATACCAGGGAGAGATAACGCATGAGGGATGGTTGAAGCGCAAGTGACTTAGCCAGGAACATCCAGGAACACAATTCCAACGGATCCTTTCAAGTCTATATAAGCTCCAAGAGACGGACCTTAAAATTAGCTCCGTCTGCCGATGGCTTCGTCATACATCGGCGGATGATGCTGGATGGGGTTGGCGAGTGGATCGGCAGCGGCCCCGGTTTGTGCAAGATTCCCGTCGTCCCGTTGCCATGCAAGAGTTAAATCCGTGGAACCTCGGATATCGCGTGGCCGTTAGGGAAATCATCTCCTTTTAAGTGCGTAACATGAAACCATAGCTCAACACTCTGGATTATTAGAAAAGGGTGCAGAATCCCAAAAAGTCAGGAATGCATCTGAGCACAGACTTATAGTAGATGCATTGGACAAATTGTCTACCGGAGCGCTCGCTTCATCATATACATAAAGTGCTAGATCATTATCTCATTATCGTGTCAATTGGATCATGCTCAGGGAGCTATTGTTTAGCTCCAGCTAGCCTCGACCTTTGTAGTAGTGGCGACAAGTGCATGGGCTTTGCCGATCTGTGCCGCTCATGAACCATTGATTAGCTGTGGAGCTCTTGACTCGTTCCTTATCAATCAGCAATCTGTTGTATTTATAGTTTACACTGACTCATAACCAAGAAATGCACCTCACACCCTATAGTACATGAAACACTGAATCTTGTGGAGGATACAATAATGGAGTTATATTGCCTGCCCTTACCATATTGTTATGGGACAACGAAGCCGGATGGGCCCTCGAGCCAGTCAAGATCCTCAAGCATCTGACCCCATAAAGCGGCCTCCCGGGAATTCCTGTCGCCTTGGGGATGTCCAGAATGATGCAACCGAGTACTTTCGTGCTCATATTCTGATCCCCGTGCCGAGAGATCGACCTGCCCTTGTTGCTGCTCACTTGCATTATTTCCCAGCCAAACCAACATGCTTCTCAGCACGTTTTCGCAGTTCGCTAACGCGTCACCTTCTCGAAATTGCCCTTCCATTTCCTTCATCAGAGCAAGTCCGAGGGTGTGTATGTCGTGTTTTTTGATACCAGAAATCTCGGGCTGCGCATGGAATAGTAGGCAAAGCCTGGAGAGAAGCAGGAGGCTGTACCAGAGTATATTGTATGATGAAGCGGGCAGGTGAGCAAGCACTGGTGACGGTATTGCGAGGAAGGTGTTGATAGTATCGTGTGCTGATGAGCATAGTGCTTGAAGTCGCTGTACATTGTCGTGGGAAATGTATTTTTGCCGTCCAAGAACTAGCATTGATGTTGCACTGAGCTCTATGCGCACAGCCCCTGGGAAACGTTAGTATGTAGAACAGCAGTATATCATATGATAACTCACAGTTATCCCAGAGATTGGATCTACGGAGAAGGCCTTCTGTATGCCGTTGTTGCAGTGCGGGGGATTCTGACAGCTCCTTCCAGGCCATGCTCTTATCTGCTCCCTGAAAATGCTCCCCAACAAGCGACCTAGTCGTCTCACAGAGTGTATACTCTTTGATATACACCCCGAGCAATACATCACTAGGATATTCCGCCTTTTGTGCAAGTACCTCGGTACACCGTTTAATCCACTCAGTATGTCTCATAGCTAATTGTCCGCGAAAGAACAATGACCTGTTATAGATATTCATACTTAAGCTAATATCAGGACAGAAGAGAGTCTTAATTTTGACTCACCTCGAACAGAGATAATAGCATCCGAGAAAAGCCCTTTGTGCCGTTGAGATCCAGCAATTAGTATCTTTCTCCATCTGATCAGCGGCCCAGCTGATAGGCGGGGAAGCCTGCATGGCGAAGTTTCCTTTGTCTAAACCTAGATCAATGACGATCATGACCGCCATTTGCAGAAACATAGAAGCCTGGGAATCATGGATATGCCAGTGATAATGGTTCCAGGCAACGTGGACCAAAAGTCCTAAGAGCAAGTCCAAACTCCTCTCAGAGTTGATGACCAAGCGGGTGGCAATAGATTCCCTAACTTCTTGTTCCATGCCATGCTGTAACGATGCTTTGTGTTCCAGACAGGCGGTGATGGTGCACATTAGGAGGAAGGGAAATTGTCGCCGAAGTGTTGGAACGCCCAGGTGAGTGGGAATTATCAAGAAGGGAAACTGGGCCATCTTATGCAAGCGAAACTTTGCCAGAAGCTCTTCACATTCTAGGAGAGTGAAAAGCCCGCGAGAGATAAAGTCCAGGTCCGTATCAGCGCCTGACGGTGAGTTTCTAATCGGTATCCCATGATTGTAGTTGTGGTCTGATTCATCTCCGTTGCGGCGACACTGGTGGTTCAGTGGTCGAGCAGGTGGACTGTTATCACTATTATGCTGGTAAGGACGGTTCAATAGGTTGGTCCATTACCGAGGGTTGGAGCAAGTACCTTCATTAATGCCACCTGAGTGACTAAGTTGTCCACTTGCTCCTGCAGACTGTCAATGCGGCTTTTCCTGTTTGTAAAGAGAGCGTCAGCCTCATATAATGTCCTGAAAATGTGATGAGGCTGACCTGTGACTGCCAGGTCCTTGAGTCTCTGGGGCGATACAAGGCTGGGAGAGCCGCATACATCGTTCACAACTCGGTGTACCTCGGACCGAGTCTCGGGTCGGAACACATTTCACCTTAAGTTGAATGCACCTGGCGCAGGCATGTCGTCTCCGATGTTGTCGGTGCATCCCAGTTCAGTAAGAGACAACGCGTCAGACTACCATGGAACGGAGTGACAGGAGAAATCGAGTTGATCCATTTCACAAAGAAAACGGACAGATTATTAAAGCTTTCAGCGATTGATCCTTCAAGAGTAGCAGGACAAGGCTCCAGACAAAGTACCAACAATAGATGGTGATAGAGATAGAACCGGCCTCGACCGGGCCAATCAGCACTGCTGTCGGAGGAGCCGGAGTCGGACTCATGGCCGGAGCCGGAATCGGGATCGGAGTCGGCATGTCAGCCCTGTGCCCTGACAGGGGGGTATAGCCAATTATCATCCGCACATTTATGTTGGTGGCATTTTTGCTATCTCTTAGCTAGAGGCGAAGGCATGCAGATATATGAGCCAAGGAACCCGTTCTTCCTTCCAGACCTATGATATGTGAAGCACGGATGACGGGTGATCCGGATGACCAGCCGACAGGTGGATGAAATTAGATGAAAGTACGTATTCTCACATCCTTTGTGGGACATAATTCTATATCGTCATGTGCAGGGTAACAGGATTATGCGGTTTAAGCTTTTATCTCAAGTTCTGGTTTCACTATTCATTCCAAGGTAACGCCACAAAGTGCTACAGGTCACTCCAACGGCACCGCAACATCGAGTCCGCGCTTGATAACAAGCACATTATGCCTCTGTACCACCATAAATTCGCGGGTGGCGGGCAAATACTCAATGAGGAACTTATCGTTGCTTCCTTTCCACTCCGATAAGAGGTAAAAATGCCGCCATGCGCCCTGTCTGTTGGCATTCCATTCCTTCAAGTCAACACTGCAGACCCAGGAGTCGCTATCCACAAACAGGATGAGGCACCCACAGACGCCAATGATCTGGCGTATTCTGCTGGATATATGCTCAAAGCCTGAAAGGTGGTATTCATTGGGCCATTTGTTCCCTGGGTGGATTTCAGTTGCCTTCCAAACCCTCAGCTTGGAACATGAAGCCTTTCTAGATACATATTTCTCGCCGACGGTAGCTATGAATTGCCTAGCACTCATTGGCCTCCCCAATTTGTTCAAAGTGTGAAGCTGCGGAGCCATGCAATTATTTGCATTATCGTTGGCTGGCATGTCCTCGAGACACTCTTCGCCAATCGTCTCTTCGGGACGATCCCAGGTATACATATAGGTTTGACCGGCACCTATGACCAAAAAAGAGTCCAGACGCTGAGGGTGCTGAATGATTTCGTGGTCACCGCCAAAGTCATCTAAGCTCAGACGAAAGTCAATATGGTCATCTAACAAGGTCCAAACCTTGACCCAGTGCCTTCCTTCAATCAAGACCTTTGTTCCGCTTGTGTTGAACAGCAGATCTAATACAGGCTCGCCAGATCGAAACTCTTTCATAGTAGTGATCACCTCATCTGCATCCGAGCTGGGCTCTATTTTGGACACAAGGATGCGACTGGATTCGTCTGCTGTGACAAGCAGCCCGCCTCTTTTGCAGTAATTCATGCATGTTATCCCAATACCCTGAGCGTGCCGACTAATTTGTTTGTGTCGCATAATCTGTCCGTCAAAGCACATGACAGATCCATCTTCTTTCCCACAGAAGAGGTACCTCCCATCTGCATGCGGGCATATGGCTGTTATTTGGGCTTTTGCAGCTTGTTCCGCGTCCCTTGAAGTAGTCTCCAGCGTCCTTGCTTGACTGGAGTCGCTTGCATTGTCATCGTCGTACACGCCCCCAATCAGAATTTCCGGCTCCCAAACTCGGCACTGCGAACCACGGATATCGGCGAACTGTAAACTGTCGGCACTGAATGAGATCCCGCGGATACCGTCCTCGGACGAATCGATTCGATGTATGAGGGCTATACTTGTTCCTTGATTCCCTGTGAATTCGAAAACATTTATAGTGCCACGCGAGCTGCCGGTAACAAGGATGCGGCCATCTGGGGAACAGGCGAGGGTATGAGCATAGACAGACTGCCTGAGGTAACATAACTCAGCAGTACACACATCATAGACTACAAGCTCTCCATCACCGTACGAAACTATCAGGACATCACGGTTTCGGTTGAACGCCATGCCATCGACAGCGTATTCTCTGGCCGTAGTATCATGCCTGTAGCAGGCTCGAACAGGAGACGATGTCGTCATGTCAAAGACATATACCGGTCGTCCTCTGTAGCTGGTCGCAAGATAAGAGCCATCATTGGACAGCAGAGCCATTGCTGGAGGGTAAGTTGGTTTGGTCTGTCCTGTTACTTCTTGGAAACGCTGGGTCCATGGACAAGTGTCTCCAAAGCTTTCCTTGTCTTCAATAATCCAAGACACAGTGTAGTTACCTCGAGTAGCCGCCAATAAGCCTCTGCCATTGTCCCGAAATGTGACGGTCAAAGGTTGATGTGGTACATCATAACTCCGCACTTGTTTTAAGGTCCGCATATCCCAGACTCTGATCCTGCGCGGGCCGCTGGAGGCCAGATATTGGCCGTCATCGCTGAACTTCAGTATTATCACTCGCTCTTCATGAGAGATAATGGCTTTCTTCTCTAGCGAATGCCAAAAATAAAGGGCAATAGTTCCATCGGACAATGAAACAGCAAATTGATTATCACCATGGGCGATTGCAGTCGTCCGTGCCGTGTCATAATCAATTCGAGCGATGCATTCACTCCAGCCATCTTCTTCAAGACCTTTGATAACAACACCACGAGGGCGCAAGGTATACCGCCTTGATATCATTGACTCCGAAGGACAGAGTACTGGAATCACCTGATGGATCGCTGAAGGGCAAGTGTCCAAAGCTATCCGGAATCTGGCATTCAGTCTGAGCAAATCGTGTATCCACTTCCGTAGCTGCTTCTTCTTCTCGTTCGATGTTGGTATCTTTTTGGTGTTGCATGCCAAGTATGAGGCTAGGTTCTTGGCAGTATGCGTGACGTGCTGTAGTCTTCCCGTCTCAGCGAGATACTGAATCCAGGACAACGCAGTACACTCCATGAAGTCTAAGAGTGTATCCCATATACTGGGGGTTTCTATAGCGCTGTAGTTCAGATGTTCTGAGAAGTGGATTGCGGCGTAGTCAGCGATGTTGCTCTCTGCAGTAATTGGCATACCAGGTGCCTTTAATACTCGCCTGCCGGGCTCATTGGCAGTATAGCTGATTAATGTCTTTAGACAGAGCTCTGCAAGTCTCAACTGACTTGTAGAATTGTTTATGACAAAAGGTGAGAATTCCACTTGCTCCAATAGGAATGCTCTTGCAGTTTGGTGGACACATTGAACTTCATTTCCTCGTCCAACCCTAATAAGTTGTCCACAGATGGTGCTGATAGCATCTTCCAATTTGTGGACGGTTTCACCGGTGTCAATCTTGATGGCATGCTTCAGCTCATCCACGGAAAGTGGCCTCACTGCCAGCGACGTCCAGGTAAACATGGACCGAACCAAATTATGGTTCGGAACAGGTATGTTCTGTAATATTCGCGCGTATACGTTGTGCATCTCCATAGGCGTTTCATTGATAATCCTTTCTGTGCTTTCCTCGGAGAATGCGGTCTCGAGCTCCCTAATTACGAGAGATAACCATAGAAAAGACCCATTAGCCTTATCAAGGATTTTGGCTTGGAAATTGCCTTGGCCGTCATCGACTGCAAGAGGAATGTACTGGATCCTTGAATTGACAAATACTCTCAAGTCATTTATCGTGTCTTGGGGCTGTAAAGTGTACTCCTCGATGGCGTGATGATGAGCTGGATGGCATCGAGACATTTTCGGCCCGTTGCGACTCGTAACAAATATTCGCAGCCACGGAGGAGATTCTGCGAGTAAGGAAACAAGAATACTCGGTTTGGGACACTCGTCGAGAGCATCAATAACCCAATAGTACAAGTCAGACTTCAACTCCTTGAAGATGAACTCTTGGAAGATCTCGCGCCACAATGTCCGCTCATCCATTTGCTCCCACGCGCCAGAATCCGGTGACACCTTTGTAAGTTGTCCAAGGATCTTCGTATTCATTTGACACATTTGAAAGGCAAATGATAAGAGGCATTTAGTGACTGTGGACCTATCTCCATCCCCATGTTTGAAGAAGAAATAGCTGCATTGAGAATTACTTTTCTCACAGTCGTCGATTACAGAGCTCGAGATGACTGACTTCCCGGAGCCAGCGTTACCCGTGAGCCAGAAGATGGGCCGATCAGTGGACTCGCCCGATTTCCACGAGGCATATTGCTTTCTCAATGCTAGCCATTCGCAGGTTCCAGGAACCCGTAGCTCGACCAGCGCCAGGCGGATGTTATTCGGTGCATCATTGACGCCAGTCAACTTGGACAACATTTTCAAGGCGACCTTCGCATTCTCGGAGTCTAAGGTGATGGCAAGGGTCAGAATAGCCCCAAAGTTTATGAAGGTAAAAGGAACCGACCGTGAGAGACGATTGAATCGATAGTAGTGACAAAAGCATTCCGGACTGTCATATAGTTCGGATCTGTAGGACTGTCAAACTTGCATACACCTCTATGGTCCGCATTTAGAAGTGAGCATCGCTCTCTGGAGTATCCCAGAGTCGCCGAAGTTTTGTCAACAATAATAGCGCTTGTCAACATAAAGCTGCATGGGAGAGTCTCATAAAAAGACCATATTTGCAAGTGATCTGCAACATGTCGAAAACTGTCATTGATCGATTGAATGGAGTCAGAATTACGTTCTAGTTCTAATACGAACGGCTTGGGCCCAAACGACACTCTAAGGACATTTGCAAGGGTCTTTGCAAGATCGGAGCCCCGGTGAGGTGTGGCAAGAAAATATAATGTATGTATTCGTGCTGCAATTTCCTTCAGAGTAGGATCCTCTCGAGCTAGTATATATGCATGTGGGATGGTGAGCTCAACAAATTGAGGTAACTAGAAATGGATTGATCTACCTTTTTCGCAACCAGCCCGCCCATACTATGTGCAATGAGTACTAACTTTGTCTTCGATTGGTTAGTTTGAAGGCATAAAGATGGGCGATCGACTCACATTGCTTCGACGGATGTCCGGATTGCATTGGATTTCTCCTAAAAGGGACAGCGCAAAGTCATGGATGTTCAGAACACTGGCCGTTGTTTCGGCCCAATCAGCTTTATATCCAAAGCTGTATATACGCACTTTGTCAAATTCGGGGTCTTGGGATAACCATTCCTTGGGCCAATAATGATAAGGGTCTGGTGATTTGGACCATGTTTTTCTAGATCCTCCTCCGAGGCCGTGGATGAATATGAAGTCGACGAGTGGTTCTGGAACGGTACGAAGCAATTGAAGGCCTAGAGGCCCTTTGAGGTCTTCGCTCTCAGTTGGGGGCTTGTCACCAGGAGCGATATGCTTTTGAGTAACATTGACTCTTCGATTGACGCGGAGCCTGCCGAACGACCTCCTGAACCAGCCATGACTCCCCGCCGTAGAGGCATGCCCTCCGGACTGCTTTACTCAGCGTCTGCTTTCTAGGTCTTCAAACTTGGTAGAACAGACCTTTTCCATTACAAAAGCATACCAATATGATATGAAGACGTTCTTGACATCGATACCATTCAGCACCAAGGATGCTAGGTGTTGGTAGTCGGATAGAAGCCCAAATGTTACACTCTCGGTGCCCCTCATCGAGAGCTGCTCGCTTACGACTCCCTGCGTTGAGCTGCATTGGGATTCTGCGCAGCGATGGATACCCGAGTTGCGTGAGCCAGTCATACGTCTCGGTTAGGCGCTGGCAGCCGTGCTATTGCGCTCATGCAGGCTGAGCGGCTATAGGATGTAGCGCGACATGGTGCGCAGTGTATGATTCGTAGAATAACTCTTGACTAACAACATGTGTGATTGATCCTTGTCAAGATAGCGTGGATGCTTTGTACAAATCGAGTAGTGAGAGGGCGCTCTATGGCATCGTGTCATGGCTCTGTTGGATTTGCGACTCTATCTGCCAGTGAAATCAGCGTGTCCGTAACATACTGTTAGCTAGTGTCCACCAGGTGAGTCGCGGGAAAACTAGCTGGTTCAAGAACATCTGAAAGCTGCGAACAAGCAATTCAGATGCCTTTTGCGCACATTGCCGACATACTCTAGAGCTGCCATTATGTAGATATTTTGGATATCTTCCCGTCCCCGGAAGGTGGCACATAACGTCAATATGTTGGAAGTACTGTAATATAGTTCTTTAGCTTTATTTTCTCAGTGACAAAGCTCTCTGGCTTTGGCTCTGAGTATCCTGAAATGCAGATCCTCGGGAAAGAGTGCGAAGAAGCTAAGCAAGTCACTTTCCGGTGGAGATTGGCATCATCACACCCCTGCTCGTGGAACTCGGCAACAACGGCGGGGTACTACACCCCATCACTTCGCTTAGTGACAATATTAATCCAAGTTCAGTAACGTTACGCATCTATCGTGTGTGCCTCCTCCATTATTATTAGACTTGCAGCGATCATGTCGCACTCCGATCATCAACCCACTTTCCCTGGCCCACCAGTGATTGTGGCAGACGAAATTCCGACGGAAACACCAATTGACGCCGTGGTTTTATCAGGTACGTAGTTGTATATCTACTTTGCTACACACTAGGATCTACTCATGGCAAGAAATAACAGAAATCGGGCTGTTTCGCCGTCCTTTACAAGTGGTGAGCCTTGGTTCTTCAGCCTGGGCTCAAAGATATCGGATTGATGTCGAGGACCAAGATCAGACAGAAAGCTATTTCTTGAAGGTAAACTTTCCCTATGGCATCTTTTTCACTTTAAATGACACTACTACGCTTACTGCTCTACTAACCAGGCCCAAAATAGATATCATTAGGGGTCCATGGCAAGGAAGCCCTCAGAGGGGAATTCGAATCTACTTTAGCAATCCACAGCATAATTGGAAGCTTCACTCCTAAGCCAAATGGATGGGGATCTTTCAAGGCACTTCCAGGCGTACATTATTATTTCTGTCGATTCTATGAACTTGCAGAGCATGCCCCCAAGCCAGCTGAGTTTTGCCAGATGGTCGCCTTTCTCCATTCGAGGAGCGAATCGCCAAACGGAAAATTCGGGTTTCACCTTGTGACATACAACGGCGATCTGCCCCAGGAGAATGGATACACTGACACATGGGAGGAATTCTTCAGAATTGGCTTTGAGCACATGATCGATATGAACATCGAGCGTGGTGGGGTATGGGCTGAGCTGGAAGGCTTATATACTGCTATGATTGTCAAAGTCATTCCCCGCTTGTTAAGGCCAATGGAGACGGGAAGGCGGTCCATCAAGCCAGCCCTCGTCCACGGAGACCTGTGGTGCGGAAATGCCGCTATCAATTCGGCCACCGGAAGGCCGTTGATATATGATCCTGCCAGCTTCTATGCGCACAATGAGTGTATGCGCTTCTCTGCAAACCCAGATGAATTGCACTGATATTACCCTCTAGATGAATTGGGCAATTGGCGTCCTGAGAGAAATGGGTTTACGAGGAGTTACTTTGATGCCTATCATTCAATCATCCCAAAGACTGCCCCAACAGAAGACTATGATGACCGGATTGCACTATATTCAATGTAAGAGCCCATCCAGTTCTACTACTCTATGATAGCTCTTATCAGGAACAGGCGCTTCAATTTACAGGCCGCGGCCCTCTTTCCCAAGGTTACTAGCTTTCGAGACTCGTAAGTCGATTATCATGTGCATTGGCCCTCTTCGTTGCTAATAGTACATCAGTGTCATCGAAGAAATGAGACGTCTGGTTACGAAGTACCCGGGAGGCTACGAGGAGTACGCCAGGACGTCTTGTATCAATATATAACGTCTCTGAGGCGGATTATCATACGTTGACTGCCAAGCATCTACATCTTTCCTAAGAGCAGTTGACTATTTTATAAATTTTTGTCGCGACAGCTCTCTATTGTACTTATTCTCATTTCTCTGGGATTATTGTAAATTCTCGAGACAGTGCATGTAAATTTCCTCAAAAGTAAAGATTGACTGGATTCAGATTGCTTCGAAGTCAAGCATTGAATGCTTAGCTCGGATGGGGTAGGATAAGTTGTCACAAAATCCGGAAGACATAATAAGCGCCCACCGAGTGGAGATTGACACTACCATCCTTGTCGATGTATGGGGCACTTTGGCGGGGTACTTCAACTCATCCCCACGTTGTACCGTTGTCACTCTCTTTCACTCTCAACTTCTGCAGAGATCATTCCAGAACTAGTTCATCGATTTTCATTCTTCCCTGTATCTGAGATGACGTTTCCAGCTGTCGGTCTAGGTACCTTTCAAGGTGATGCCGGTAACAGAGGCGTCAAAGAGGCTGTTCTACAAGCACTGCGTTGCGGCTACAGGCACATCGACACCGCCACTGCCTATGGAAACGAAATAGAGGTCGGTGAAGCCATCAAGGAGAGCAGAATACCTCGAGAAGAGATCATTGTTACCACCAAGCTGTAAACACTTGCGTGCCTGTGTCTGCAACCCGGGATGCTGACTCTTTGTTCAGAGCTCAGACGTGGCACCGTGTTTCCGACGTTGAGAGAGCACTCGACCTCAGCTTGGAGAGGCTTCAATTGAACTATGGTCTGTCTATGCACCTGTATTCTGCTTCAAGGTATCTTGCTGATTGCCTTCATGGATAGTCGACCTGTATTTGATGCATTGTATGGCGAAAGAAGATCCCTTCTCCGCCTAACGCCCACTAATAGCTACTCAGTTCCCCATGCATACAGCCCTGGACCGGATAACAACACAATCCGTCATCCTAATGGAAAGGTATACCCCTGACAGTTCTTCTATCATACTCGTGCGGTTTACTAAGTCATTCCTCAGCCCATAATTGACCACGAACTGTCAAGAGACTATCCATCGACATGGGCAGCCATGGAGAGCCTGGTCGATAAAGGAAAATTGAAAATGATTGGTATGCATGTACTATCTAACATGGAATGCAGACACTAATGATTCCTAGGAGTCTCCAACTTCAATATCTTGAAGCTCGAGAGACTTCTCGGGTCAGCCAGGATTCCTCCTGCAGTCAACCAGATCGAACTTCACCCGTAAGTGCTCAATCTGTCCTACTATGTACTTTTGGATTGACTTACGGTCCGGTAGTTATTTACCCCAAGTTGAGCTCGTGAGGTTCTGCAAAGCCAATGGCATTCACTTAGTGGCTCATCAGCCACTCGGCGGCAAGCCAGTAGCAGCTGTCAACCCCAACGCAGACCGACCAGGTCCGTTGAATGATCCAGATGAAAGTTTCCCTAAGTGCATGTGACAACCATCGCGACTAATAGCTACAAGATAGCCGAAATAGCCTCGAAACATGAGCGTTCTCCGGCCCAAATAATACTATCCTGGATCGTCCAACAAGGTATATCTGTGATTCCAAAGACAGTCCGACAAAGCAGAATGGTAGAGAACCTCGACCTAAAACAGTTGCCAGATAAGGACATGGAAACAATATACGATCTTTCGAAGAAGAAAGGAGAAGTCCGCTACCTCGATCCGAAGAACCACATTGGCTTCAATATTTTTGATGAGCGACACGATCAGCCAGTACAGGAGTGATCAACTAGGCCCCAGTGTTGCATGCGCAGATGCCTGGATGGATTTACCAACATAGATAGAGACTGCCTACACTAGTGCGTGTCACTTCTGGTTAGCTACGGAAGGATTCCGCCGCCCTGATATGATATCAGACTGGTCTGTAAATGCGACAACAGAAGGATAGATAATCCCGCAGTACCCCTCATCTAAAGCTTTGACGTCGTTTCAGATGTCCAACACAGCACAACACAGCCTACCTCTTCCGCTGTCATAAAATCAGGTATAGGACTGAAAACCAACAGATATTGAACAATTTAGCTAAGCGAAATAAAACGCGCATCAAAGCGTAACAGCAAGGCTGCAATTGAAACTCACTTCCATAATTAGTCACAACATACTAAGTTACATAGCCTTGCTGTGTAGGCCTACAATCAACCATCCATTCACAAATAGTCAACTCCCAACAATAACGCAGTACTACGCCTGGTTTGAAACACAAGGAACTCTCAGACAAATTCACACACAGACCGCCCACATACAACAACTGAATCAGACACAAACACTAAAACAGGAAGGATTTAGTAACTAATTACTCAGTAATTAATCCGCCACGATCCGGAAATCCCCCGTGGCCTCAGCCCATACTCCACCAGAAGCTACTTGCGATCCAGGTCAAGTCAAGGCTATAATAGCTATATCATAAATCCATTATCACAATCTCTTTGTAATCCCAATATAATCACTAACATAGAGGACAAACACGCCAAGCAGATAAGACATAGTACTAATATAGAAGGATAAGACACAATAAGCAAGGCTAAAAACACCGACGTCATAAGCGAGCACCAAGACTAATCTCATCACCTCCTAGTAACGAACTAGCCGAGATACACGTTACTTAGTAGACTAGACTAAGACACACGTGGCCAAATACCACCTAGTACTGAACTAACTAACTAGCAGACCAGCCTAACCCGACTAGAAAAAACGGAAAACGTGGGAAGGTCAAACCGCACCGCACCTCAACCAGTACGTACTTACTAATTCATCACCACCACCACCACCATACAAATTAAATAAATAGTAACTGTTGGTTTCAGCTCAAACCCTGTTGGATTTTTTCTTATTTAATCCTACTACTAGTCACATCACACCACCACCACGCCCATAGTACTAGTAAGAGTACTTAGTCACTAAAGTGACTTTCGCCAAGTAAAAAAATGCACAGACATCCATCCATCCTGGTCATCCACACACACATCCTCATGCTCACCCTGTCCTATCCCATCCCAGTCCCATCCCATGTAATCAAAACCAACCTTAGTACCATCCCTGTACAGAGCAGGAGCATGGGGGTTAAAGTAGATCACCCCCCTCCCTCCATCCTTCCACCCCCCCTAGTTCAGCGCTAGAAGCACCAGAAACACGGCCTAAACACGTGTTAAATGGGGGCCGTGTAGATCACTCCTCAACAATCTTTCTTCATCACAGGAACATATTACAATCCTTGTATATTAATTGGATCCTGTATACATACTCGCTAGACTGTTCACGGCATAGTTGGATTAATCGGTGGGATGAAACAAGGTCCCAGTGGGATATTACTATATGATTAGAAAGAAAACTACAGACCTACTTATTTACTTAGATGCTAACTACCTGCTAGGATAGAATCTGGGTGATCACGCATACGATCTGTCGCTTAGATAACTCGTGAAACTGTCGTTGTTTCAGTTACAGCTATTATTATATCTTTCTTGGCAGTCTACTAACTGACTATCCTACGGAGGAGTAGGCTATGATTGATCTTGGTTCTTGAGTAGTGAGTAGTTCATCATTAGTTATCTCAGGGTATATACCGTATTCGGTTAGTCGTCACATCACATTAGGAACATCATCCCGCGCACTTTCCACAGCACGCGAGCGTAACAAAGCCACTTCAAATCAAACCAACCAAACAGATCAAGTCAGATCAGTCAAGTCATGCATGCATGCAGATCAAAATAATCACTCATATCGCTAGCGTACGAGAATAAGCAAGCAACCAGCCAAGCAAGCAGCTTCAGTTTCCAATACCATCCCTCTATTTCGCCCATCCCAAGTAAATCCAAGACAAAAGAAAAAATAAAATCAAAACCAAAACACCCTGGCGGTCCTATCCCAGTTCATCTGATCCCGCTTTATGCCGTTTTCCGTATCCGCTCCGTAGCTGATGATGATAAAAAAGTAAAACATAGGAATAGAAATGAAATCACTCCAAGGTTGCCCCTAGTGCCATCCCCTCTCGGGTGCCGTGTTATACCCCCCAACCATCACCGGAGTTTCTTCGTACAGCTGCATATTTAGCCCCAGCCCGCCATTGTTCACCCGTGGCAGTCCCCCGCACATCACGTCGCCAAGATATGGGGGCGGAAACGCAGGGGAGTGCTGCAGAGATCCCGCGTGGCTGTAATCCGAGAGATCGTCACGAGGGTCCGAGAGCAGCCGTGGGGAGCTCGGATACAAGGCCTGCGACGCCGGGGCCGTCACATAGGCTCCGTTGACGTCAAACGGGGGGCTGGCAATGGTCACTTCGGGAGGGGACTGCAGAGGCGGAGTGTAAGGAGCGTAGGTGGCGGAGGCGGAAGACGGAGAGGACGAGGCGAGGCGGTAATCGTGGACGCTGTGATACGGACTAGGAGGTGCAGGAGAATAGTGGTCTAGGGAGGTGCGCGGAGACCACTGAAGCCGGCTTTTGTACTTGGCGACAATATGCCGGGGAAGATCCATGGCGGATAGTGCGAGGTGCGCATCGGGGTGGAAAGGATCGGCTGTGCTCCGAGCAACTACCATCCGGTAGATCTCTTCAATCGGACTGATGGAGAGAGGACCCAAATAGGCACCGCCCAAGTTGGGGAAGAGGCTGTCGAGGACCACGCCAACCCCGAAAAACTGGGCCAGAATGGCTAGCGAGCCGATGTCGGCATCTTCAGGCCGCAGCATGGCAGGAGGAAGCCAGAACAGCCACCGCCGCAGCGGCTGCATGCGCTCAAAGGCCTGCTCGGGGGTTTGGGAGAGGAGATCTCGCTGGAAGTGTCGTACAAACTCTAGGAGTTCCCCAATACGGCGGTAGTGCGCATGGTTGTGTGCAACCCGCTTCTGCAGGGCCTGGAGTGCCACGACGGTTTGGTCGAGGCTGGCCAGGTCTTCGTCTTGAACTGGTAGCCCGACATAACTGGGGTGTTGGTGCACCCCAGGTACCGCTATTTTCCAAGAACAGGCCAACTCGGACTCTGCTTCCACATCGGATGCANGAACCCAAGACC